CGGGGAAGAAGCAGGTGCTGGTGTTCGTGCACAGCCGGAAGGAAACCGCGCGCACCGCGCAGTTCCTGCTGGACACCGCGGTCGAGAAGGACCAGCACCACTTGTTCTTCCCGTCCGAGATGGCGCGGAAGAAGCTGGAGGACGAGGTCAAGAAGTACTCGATCAAGAACGACGATCTGAAGCGTCTGCTGCCCACCGGCTTCGCGATCCACCACGCGGGACTCTGCCGAGCGGACCGAACCGCGGTCGAGGAGCTCTTCGCCGCGGGCTTCATCCGCGTGCTGGTCTCCACGATGACGCTGGCGTGGGGCGTGAACCTGCCCGCGCACACGGTCATCATCAAGGGCACGCAGATGTACTCGCCCGAGCAGTCCGCGTGGGTCGAGCTCTCGCCGCAGGACGTTCTGCAGATGCTGGGGCGCGCCGGACGCCCGCAGTTCGAGTCGTTCGGCGAGGGCATCATCATCACGCGGATCTCCGAGCTGCAGTACTATCTCTCGCTGATGAACGCGCAGCTGCCGATCGAGTCGCAGTTCATCAAGCGGTTGGCGGACAATCTGAACGCGGAGATCGTCATGGGAACCATCCAGAACGTCGCCGACGCGGTCTCATGGCTCGGATACACGTACCTCTTCGTCCGAATGCTGAAGAATCCCGCGCTGTACGGCGTGGATGCGACCTCGCTTCGCGATGACCCCACCTTGCTGCAGTATCGCGTGGATCTGATCCACAGTGCGGCGAGTCTTCTCGCCAAGAACGCACTGATCAAGTACGACGTGAAGGCGGGTTTGTTCGAATCCACCGGACTGGGTCGCATCGCGTCCTATTACTACATCACCAACCCTTCCGTCGCGACCTACAACGAGCATCTCAAGCCCAACATGACCGAGATCGAGCTGTTCAATCTGTTCAGCCGCTCCGCGGAGTTCAGCCAGATCGTCGTTCGGCCCGAAGAGAAGCTCGAGCTGAACATGCTGATGAACAAGGTCCCGATCCCGATCCGCGAGACGGTGGACGATCCCTGCGCCAAAGTGAACGTGCTGCTGCAAGCCTACATCTCCCACGTGAAGCTCGAGAAGTTCGCCTTGGCGTGCGACATGGTGTACATCACACAGGTAGGCAGACAAACCATAAAAACCCGATCCATCGTAGTCCGCGGGGCGAATCCTGCGCGCACTCTTCGAAATCGCTTTGCTGCGCGGCTGGTCGTCGCTCGCGCAGCGCTGCTTGGAGCTGTGCAAGATGGTCTCGCACCAGCAGTGGGCTACGCAGTCGCCGCTGCATCAAGTAGCGATCGAAAAAGCATGGTGACGCGTAGTTCAACAAGCTCCCCGCCTCCGTGCTGAAGAAGCTGGACAACAAGCCCATCGCGTTTGACCGGTACTTCGAGATGAGCGCGGGCGATTTGGAGGAGCTGGTGTCCGGAAAGGGCGAGCAGGTTCGAAATATCGGCAAGAAATTGGAGCGGATGATCCACCAAATCCCGCGTCTGCAAGCCGAAGCCATCATTCTCCCGATCACGCGATCGATGCTGTCGGTGGAGCTGGCGCTGCACGCCGATTTCAACTACGATCCGGCGGTGCACGGCTCCTCGCAAGGCTTCCATCTGATCGTGGAGGACGGCGACGGCGAGAAGATTCTCTACTATCAGTACTGGCTCCTCAAAGCCAAGTACGCCGAGGAAGTGCAGTACGTCAACTTCACCGTCCCGCTCTTCGACCCCATGCCTCCGCAGTACTTCCTCCGCATTATCAGCGACACCTGGCTCCAAGCCGAGACCACGCACCTCATTTCCTTCCGTTCGCTGATCCTCCCCGAGAAATTCCCGCCCCACACGGAGCTGCTCGACCTGCAGCCCGCTCCGCTCTCGGCTCTGCACAACCCCGCCTTCGAAGCCGCGCTGGCGTCCACGCTGACGGTGTTCAACCCCATCCAGACGCAGGTGCTCCGCACGGTCTACGAGAGCGACGCCAACGTGCTTCTGGCGGCACGAAGCGGCAGCGGGAAGGGCGTCGTGGGGGAGCTGGCGATGTTCCGCCTGTTCGCGACGCAGCCCGGAGGGAAGGCGCTGGTTCTGTGTCCGATCAAGGCGGTGTGCGACCGCCATGTGCAGCGATGGACGGAGATGATGCGGCCGTTAGGGAAGAGCGTGGGGCAGATGATCGGCGAGCCGAAGGAAGATTCGCGGACTCTGAGCACGTGCGATGTGATTGTGTCGCTGCCGGAACACATGGACGCGTACACGTGCACGGGCTCGCATTTGAAGCTGATCCAAGTAGGTTTAGAGAGAGGCGGGTTGCTGATGGCTAGCAAATCAAATTGGTGGTCGTGGAGCATCTCCACATGATCGGCAGCGCGCAAGGCTATCTCTTAGAATCCGTTCTCTCGCGTCTCCGCGCCCTCGAAGCCCAGGCCAAAGCCGATCCCAAGAGCCGCTTCGCGATCCAGTTCCGCTTCGTCGCGCTCTCTGCCTGCCTGGCGAACGCGCGCTCGCTGGCGGGCTGGCTGAACGTGGACAAGGGGCTCTTCAGCTTCCACTCCTCGGTGAAGGTGAATCCGGTGCAGGTCCGCGTGCAGGGATTCGACATCAACCACGCGGGCACGCGCCTCCTCGCGATGAGCAAGCCCGTCTACTCCACGCTCACCGCGCTCTCGGGCGGCCACGCGGCGCTGGTGTTCGTTCCCTCGCGCAAGCAGGCGCAGATGACCGCGATCGACATCCTCACGTTCGTCTCCGCGACGTCGAAGCCGCGCCGATTCAACCACATTCCGCAGGACCAGATGGACGAAGTGCTCAGCCGCGTCGTCGACCCCGCGCTGAAGACCGTCCTCGCGGCGGGCGTCGCCTTCTTCTACAAAGTGGAAACGTGGAAACGGAGTGAGAGGTAGGGCATGAACGAGGAGGACGCTCGGCTGGTGCGCGAGTTGTTCTCTCGCGACTTCATTCAAGTGCTGGTGGCGACCGCGGAGCTGTGCTGGGAGTTGGACTGGAGCGCGCAGCTGGTGATCGTGATGGGTAGCGATGCGACGGACGCTTTACGGCTAGACACGTGCTTCTACGATGGCAAGGATCACCGCTACGTGGACTATCCCATCGTGGATCTCCTCGAAATGATCGGGTTTGCTTCGCGTGGCGGCAAATACGCGAGCGGGAAGGCGGTGGTGATGACGCACATCTCCAAGAAGGACTACCTCAACAAGTTCCTCTTCGAGCCGCTCCCCGTCGAGAGCACGCTCCATCTGCACCTCGCCGACGTGCTCAACGCCGCCGTGACCAGCCACACCGTCGCCTCCATGCAGGACGCCATCGAGTGGCTCACCTGGTTCTTCTTCTATCGCCGGCTCCCGCAGAACCCCAATTTCTACTCGCTCGACGGCGTCAGCGACGCGCAGCTCAGCGACTTCCTCTCCACGCTCATCGAGAACACCGCCACCGACCTCCAGGACGCGGGCGCGGTGGCCATCGACGAGCAGGCCTTGGAGCCGCTGAATCTGGGCGTGCTGAGCGCGCATCTCTACATCCGCGTGCAGACCACGAAGCTCTTCTCGCTCTCCATCACCGCCAAAACCAAACGCCGCGGGCTCCTGCAGATTCTCTCCTCCGCCGAGGAGTTCGAAGAGGTTTTTTTCATCCTCTCTCTCCGCGATAACGCGTAGCTCCCGCTGCGGCAGCACGAGTCTCTGCTTCTCCAGCGCATGGCGAACCACCTGCAGTACGTCGTCGAGAACTCCACGCCCGTGTCCCGCAAGGTCAACGTGCTGCTGCAGAGCTTCTTCAACCGCGACGCGCTCCCCAGCGACCTGCGCCGCGACACGCTGCAGCTGCTCCCCACCGCCGTGCGCCTCCTCCACGTGGGTTCGCCGAAGCAGAATGACACGCAGGGCATGGTGAACGTGTGCTCGACGAACACGTGGCTCAAGCCGGCGATCGCCGCCATCGAACTCTGCCAGATGGTCGTGCAGGGGCAGTGGAACGAGGACTCGCGACTGCTGCAGCTGCCCCACTTCGATAAAGACCGCGCCGCTGCGTTCGACGGCGAGGGAGTCAGCAGCATCTTCGACTTCCTCGACATGGAGGACGCAGCGCGCGCCAAGCTGCTGGAGGGCCTCAGCGAGCGCGAAATCGAAGACGTCGTGCAGTTCTGCGACGCGTATCCCGACATCGAGGTCAATGCAGCCTTGGAGGGAGGCGAGGTCTGCTGCGGACAGGACGCGGTGCTAAACGTGCAGCTCAATGCAGGGGAGGAGGGAGAGACTTATAGCACCGAGGTGCGTAGCGAGAACTACCCGCAGAAGCTGCGGCAGACCTGGTGGTTGATTTTGGGGGATCCCACGGACAGCTCCATTCAGTCCATCGTGGAAGTGGACCTGGAGCGAAGCCGAAGCAAGCAGCTGGCGTTCACAGCGCCGGAGAAGCCGGGACACTATTCGTGGATGCTGTATTTCATGACGGACGCGTATATTGGGTGTGATCAGGAGCAGGAGATCGAATTCGATGTAGTGGAGACAAAGTGGATTGTTTGTTGACTAAAAACAAAAGCAGAATTGCGCTTGAATGCTGAGGGATAAGCGTTTTCTGCAAATTGTCACTTTTTTTCTCCCTGGGGTTCTCGATTTCCATAACGATGCAGTTACTTGAGAGGGGCCTTTTGATAACCATCGTTTTGGTTTTGTGTGTGTTGTTTTTCCAATTGTTTGGTTTGGATTGTGGTTTCATGTAGAGAGATATTCAGTTCAAATATTGTCACTTTACATCATTTCTCTATGCAAGGACGTGTATGTGTTTTCGATGTTGTATTCCCTAGTCTTCTCTCTTCTCTATCCAACACTCGGAACTCCGAGAAGAACGTTCTGTGGTTTCTCCTTCTCAAGTACCTCATTCGACCATTAATTCTATCCTTTCCTTGTCGACGTTCACAGAGGCATTCACTCGTGATTCTGTCGCTTCTGAAGCTTCTTCTGAAGCTTCTTCTTTGGTTTCATCGCAATCTGCAGATTCCATGAATGAAGAATCGGTTGTCGTTCAATCTGAAGAGTCCGAAGATTCGCAAATTGTAGATCAGAACACCGAAGAAAAAGGAGACGACGACGAAGAAGAAGAAGAAAAAGAAGAAAAATCCCAAGCCATCCTCCATGCTTCCACCAAAGAAGAACCCCTCCATCTCACCAAACCGCTTCAAGAATCCAACAAACGTGTCAAACAAACACTCAACACCAACCTTCCTCCCTCCTCTTCCCCTTCTCCTTCTCCTTCCTCCGTTCCCGACAGCTCCGCCCTCGAAGACTCCTCCTTCGACACGCTCGAAGAGCAAACCGCGCTCTCCAAATCCGTCCCCGAAGTGCGCGACATCGCCCTCTCCCGCTTCAGCAAGCGCTTCCGCTTCACCAACCGCTACGTCAAGCTCGCCAAGTACGCCAGCGACAACGAGACCTACTACCCGCGGGACCACGTCAGCGACGGCCAGCTCTGGAGCGCGCGCAAGCGCATGATCGACGGCGAGCGCCAGACGCTACGCAGCCTCGCCAGCGACTTCAAGCCACTGCTCCCCTTCTACCAGAACTTCTCCGCGTACCTCCAGGAGAACCCTACCGCGGGAATCATCTCCGCCAAGCAGTGGGAAACGCTCAACGCTCTCTCGGGCACTGCCCAGTCCCACTACCGCAAAAGCATCAACGCGAAGCTCAGTCGCGAGATGAACCGGCGCTACCGCGAAGACACCAAGCGCCGCTCCCGGCTTCTCCGCCGCTTCGTGCGGCGCTCCGCCGATTCTCCGGCGCGCTGCGACGGCTGCAAAGTCGAAACGCCCTTCGAGCTGCGCGTGAGCGGCGGGTCGGCGCTGATTCTGCGGAAATTCGCGGGGAACCGCGAGGAATTCACCATCTACAACTCCACGTTCTGTAGAACCGCGGGGAGTGCGTGAGAGATAGACCGGTTTCCCGCGGAAGACGCGCCGTTCGACGTGACGGGAGTGTGCGTGACGACGCGGGACCGTCTGACGGTGCTGACGCAGCTGTTATACCGGTGGGAAGGGTGTGGATGTTTTGGAGGATCTGATTGGCTAGTCCGCTGGTGATTGTGTTCAACGGAGTGGTGAGCGAGGAGAAAGCGTTCATCGACTATCTCAACACGCACTTCCTGCCCGCCCGTCTCACCACGCTGCTCTATTTAATGCCGCAGCGCGGGTTCTTCCCCGTGAATCTTCTCCGCAACCTCGCGATCCGCAACATCCGCACCACGCACTTCCAAGTCCTCGACATGGATCTCTGGCCCTCTCCCAACACCTACCGCGAGCTGCTTCGTCTCCCGCCCTCGCTCCGCGACGGCCGCGTCGCCGCCATCCTCCCTGTCTTCTTCTTCGACCGCAAGCAAGTCCTCAATCGCTGCAAGTCCTTCTACGACTGCGCTCTCCTCGCTCTCGAGCACCTTCCTTCCAACAAAACCGCGCTCGAGGCCTGTCTCTACGCCAAGGCCTGTCTCTCCTCCAAGCCCGGCATCCGCACACACGTACTCCCGCGGGAATCGCCTCACGCGTAGCTCTACGTCCTTCCCGATTGGTTCACCATCCCCGCGGATATCCCGTTCGTGCAGGTGCGCTGCTTCCTCACGGACTTCCAAGAGCCGTACGTGCTGCTGCGGTACGCGCCGACGACGCCGCTGTTCGACGAGCGGTTTGTGAATTACGGGTACAACAAGGTGCAGCTGTTCGAGCACTTGAGAGCCGCGGGGTACCGGTTCTATATCGCGGCGAACGCGTTCGCGATGGATTTGCCGCACCCGGATTCGAAGTTTAGGACGAATTATTTGAGCAGTTTGAAGGGAGATAAAAGTGACATGCGGAATGTGTATAGTCAGTTCCAGAGGGAGCTGAATACGAATTATAGGAGTGTGAAACCAACTCGAGTGTGTTGTGAATATCCAAGAAAGTTTTATAAGTGGTAATCCAGTTTTTTACTGTTTGTTGGAATGGCACGCAATTTGGATCTGCTCATGGACCTGGTTCCCTCGTGGGCCTTCAAGGCTTTTGATTCTTCGACTCTCTTCATCCAGAGGAAACTTCATGTGACCCATGTAGGCTTTCGCGCTATGGAAGCGATCGGTAGAATCAGGCATCTTCCATCTTATATATTTCCGTTATTTCACTTCTCTATATCATTTGTTTTACCATGTTTCTTTGTACGTAGATAATCTGGCTGTTTTTTGTATAGTAATCCTCTTCTTTATCGAGAAAGCAAAGGATCGAAGGAGTAAACTTCGACCCAAAGCCGTCTTGGTTGGGGATAAGGGAAGTGGAAGAACGTTGCTCATGAATAATGTTTGTTTTGCTCTGTATAGTCCATGTTCTGTAGATTGCCGCAGCCCATAACAGTGAAGTTCAGGAACTCTCTTCTGTGCGGCAGTGCGATATCGCTTTGGAAACCAACACAGACAAAGAAATGAAGCTTCTCCACATTCTTTTTGAAGAATATTTGGCTCCCTCCAATCAAGCAACCCTCGATCTCTCGTTTGCGGTTTGTATTATTTATTTGATCGATGGAACGAATGTGAATGAAGTCGATGCTGCGAATTTTTTGAACACTCTATTCACCAATCCGCAATTCATTGAAAATCCCGCTCCTGTGCTGTTGGCTGTGAACAAGAGCGATTTGAAGAATTGCAAATTCAATACGGATGTTTACGATGCGATTGAGCGAGAGGTTGGGAAGCTTCGAGGCGATGAGAAGTACACCTTTAAGAAATATGCCCCTTGTACGGTCTATTCGATGAATTGTAGCGTGCTAATGAATAATCTGAGGATCTTTTTGGAGTTTATTGGCGCATGTGTTTAATTCGCAGAGTCTAGTTTAAACTTTTTTTACTTTATGCCCGGTGTTTTGTTTGTTTGCTTGGGAAACATTTGCAGGTCACCTCTGGTGGAAGGGTACTTTGTTTCCTACTTTGCCCAGAACCATTTAGCCCCTACTTTCTTTGCGGACTCGGCTGCAACGAGTACATATCATGTTGGAGAGCATCCGCATAGTGGAGGTCAGAAATGTGCGAAAGGACACGGAATTGACATTTCCAAGCATCGTGCTCGCCAAGTGAAAGCTGCTGATTTTGATAACTACGATTTGATTATTGGCATGGATTAGTACGATGAATTTGGGTTTTGTGAGCCGTAGTTCAAACATGGAGGATTTGGAGTATATGAAAAAGAGTTTGAATCCGAAAGGAAAGGCTGAACTGAAAATGCTCGCTGATTTTATTCCCGGGCAACACGGAAAGGAAGTACCGGATGCTTACTATGCTCGAGGTAACATTGGTTTGTTGTATCGATTTGCAGATCAGAAAGCGTGTTTTGAAGAGATTTATCAGATGGCGGCCGATTCTGCTTCCGAGTTGGTTTCATATTTACAAAACAAACAGTACACTTGTTTGTTAAAATCTACGTTGTCGATTTGGGAGAACACTCGAAAAGTCTTGTTTCCTTTGCCTCCTACCGCCCACATCAATCGAATCCGGACATTGCAGAATCGATTCTGCTTGCAAATAATCCCTTCGTTTCACGGGCGTGGAATACAAGTCCGGAGAGTCTGATGGTTTTTGACATCCCTTCCAACACGCATAGAAAACTACACATGAATCCATGCTTCAAAGTTCGTACAAATCACACACAAAAGCGTGAGCAAAAGCACGTTGAACGACAGTCCATCGGACGCAAACGATATTTCCACAAAGTCCTCATGTGTTTCGCTGCCCACACTGTTTCCACTGTTTCCACTGTTTCCACTGTTTCCATGGGATCCATGGGATGATGTGGAGGAGGCAGGAGATTCGGATTCGGAGATTTCCTCGATGATGAATGCATCGGCTTCCTCTCGAATCCGCGTTGTGGATGAATGATCGGGTTTAATAAATTCACTGAATTCGTTTATTGGGGGTGGGGGTTTCGTGGGGGTCTCATCGACCTCTTCTGCTTCTTGTTGGCTTTGCGTCTCTGTGAAAAACAGGCCGATTTCCGGAATTTCGGAATGCGAGGGCTGCGCCCATTCATCGAAATTCGGAGAAACGTAAACGTCTTCGGTCGAAACGGGAACCGACCGTTTCGGAGCCTTCCACGAAACGAAAGCAACAAGAAAAAGAGAAAAAAACAAAAACAAGAAAAGAAAAACGATTGGACCATAACTGGGTTCTTCCATTCTCGCACGTTTCCGCGGTTTTCCACTGCTCGATTGAGTGGGTTCGCTCCCCACGAAGGAAGGTTCGCCGCTGTAGCGATTTCGATCCACTCCAAGTTGAGAGTTTTCGTTTCCAATTCGATTGTGTTCGTTGGTAAAGCTCGAATTCTCGTTGCTGATTCGCGAGATTTCGTTGGTTTGCTGACTGCTTTTGTTGCTTAGGATCGAATTTTCGTTTAGAAATCGAGAGTTTTCATTGCTGAGTCGAGAGTTTTCATTGCTGAGTCGAGAGTTTTCATTGCTGAGTCGAGAGTTTTCATTACTCAGCCGAGAATGAGAGAAAGAAAACGAGGAATCGGAGTGATCAAAAGACGATTCGAGTCGGGATCGAACTTCTTCGTATTCTTCAAAGGGCTGTTTTGTTTGATGTGCTCGGAGTTCTATCGAATACAATCTGTTCTTTAAATCGATCCATTTATTCCGGTTTATGAACGGGGAGTAGGAATCGATCATCGAAATGATGGCTTGAATGTAAGTACACAAAATCGATTCACTCCAAAACAACAAAGTCGTCAAGAGAGTGAGCAACTCGTTCTCTTTCAAAACACCATTTAATCCATCCAGAGAACGCAAAAGAGTTTCGATAATCGACAGATCGTCTTTGAATAGTTTTAGAAAATCGCAAATAACCTCGAGTAGTTCATTTCGTTGCTTTGCTGAGGTTAATACCTTTCGGTTTAAGAGTAAAGAGATTATTTTAGGTGCATAGGCTCTTAATTGCTTCAATGCTGTTAACTGCAGTGAACACAAGAAACGAATTGCAGAATTACGATATTCTTCGCTTTTAGATGAGAGAACATCAATGACGGTTCCCTATTCATAACCTACTATCAAAAACGCGTACCACGTATTTCTGCAACGTTTTAATTTCATATACTGATGGATTTCCCCAATTTATACGCGAAACATTATTTATATACTCGTTCACAATGCCGGCATCGATAATTCCTCTTGAATAGACATAACAGGATGTATTTATCTACGTTTCAATATTCCATATAATACGCACTTCATTCATCGAATTACCGTCATTTGATAGGAAACGAGTGGATGCCTCTATTTTTGGAATTCCATTTTTCGTCCAGGGGATATTCAAGGTTTGAAATCCCTTTTTTATTCCGCATTCTATTGTATGGTTCTTGGAATTATTTTCGTTTGCATATTTGTTTTTGTAAAATTAATTGACACCATCAAACATAGTACTTCCTAATCAATGCCTTTTCTTCATTCCTGTTGATATATATTCAGCGAGTGCTTCGCCTGCCTTTTGCACTAAGACTACAATATCCCATCTGTCCGTATTTGGTTATCAAGTCTTATCCGGTATTTCGTATTTATATACGAGTACCGTCAATTCATGTCGTTTCAAAAAATGCATTCTGCCATCAATGTGTAGTTCGCGACATTTCTTTTTCGAGGTATGGAGTTAGCATATCTTCGTTTCAACTCAACGAGCTTTCGGTTTCAGAAATCTCGATTATTCCTCAATTCCGGCTCAGTTCATTTTCTATATCAGTCGACAAAGTGTTACTTTCTGACACACTGGATTTGATGAATGGAACGCTGGCCTTTCAAAGAGAACAGAACGAGATTTCTTTTCTTTTGCATGCAGATCATTGTACCCTTGTTCAACCGGTGCAATTTCAGTTTGATCAACTGCTAGCTGGGTCCCAACCACTCAGCTGTACTTGCAGTCTATCCGTTGACCACTTGAAGTATATTGCTCCACGGAGCACAATCTATTTGAATTCATTCTCCCTTATCGCATCATCAGATCAACAATTCTCTGGGTCATGCAGACACATCAGAATGAATAGTAACTCAAAGAATGTGGTGGAAGTCAAGGGGATCGCGTTTCAGCCAGATTTCTTTATGGCTTCCTCTCTCTTCTATTATTATTCTCCTTCTCTCCTTGATAGCATCATTCACGACACTTGCTCGATCATTCGGTTTTTGCCAAAATCGCTATGCTTGTCCACATTCTACCACATGATTGCATCTCTCAACCAATGGAAAAATCCTGAGTCAGACCTTTGCAATCGCTCGTTTGATTTTCCATCATTTCGAGACGATAAATCCTCTATTGACAATCCAACACTCTCTATTTCAATTCCATCCTGCACTATTCTCTTTTCAATTGATGTTCAAAACTGTTCACACGGATCAAATCGAAGAGTGATTGAAAGTTCTGATCAAGAGCAAGAAAAAGAAGAAGATGAAGATGTTCATTACGTTACTCTTCATACTTCATTATCATCGTCGATTTCATCCGATGAATGGGTTATTCGGATGATGAACACTTCAATATCGGATCAGGATGAAGGTGAAATAGCGATGATTCGTGCATCTGTTCTCACTGGATTCACTCACCATCACGTTTCATTTTTGGACATTTTCTTTTCTGGAGTTTCTCTTTCTTTTTCAATGTCCAAGTTTGCCACCATCTTTCGAATCGCACAGGAAGTTACTTTTTCAGTTTGGTGTGCGATGTACGATATTGTGGAGGAATTCTGCCAGTGTTCAATCGGAAAACGCAACGATTCGTTTTGCAGGGATCGAAATCGATTTTATTTGGATTGTTCATGGAAGAAATTCAGCCAAGCTTCACAGCCAAGTTTGCGAAATCGCGATTATTCGAACCGTAGAGAAAAAGAGAAGCTTTTGAATGAATGGAGATTAACCCCTGCAACAGATGGCAATCAAGTGGATCGAATTCGATGTGAAGGGCTGGAAATGCGCAGTGAAGAAGATCATTGGTCGATTCAAGTGAGCGAATGGGGAGGGAATCACATGCCTTCGATCGAATTCTATTTCAATAAGGTTTCGTTTCGGATGGAAAACAATGCTGTGATCGATGTTCAAGGCATTACTCTGTGCAAACGATTGATTTGCGATTCACTTCTTAATGAATTCGAGGGAGAAATGAAGGAATCAAAAGCTATTTGGGGAGTAACAACAGGAGAATTGCTTCAGCGATTTGAATACTGCGGAGAGAAACTGGAATGTGAGTGTTGGGATGGAAGGAATTAAATGTGTAGATCATGTGCAAACTCAAGTTTTCGTTGAGAAGCCTCGAATCTATGTAATGTCCCCGACTTCAGCGATTGAAGATATGATTCATCGTATTGAAACCTGTACACGGCTATTGCAGAAGAGTACTGGCTATTACAGACCCTCTTTTTCTCGATTCTACAATTTCTTCTATTGGCAATCTCCAGATCCATCAGAAGAGATCGTGCTAACAATGACAGCGCTCGCCGTGCAATTTTTGGTTGCTATTTCTCCGCTCGAACGTATTTTGTTGAGCAAACTGGGGAGAATCCTTGAATGGAAGGAAGACAACTTAAATCGCTGGTTGAAGCAATCGTACCATCCACTCATCCAAGCACAATCTACTGAAGTCACCGTTAAAAGCTTCGAGTCTTCTTCGGTTGTATCATCGAATGTAATCCAATTCTTATTTCTGGATGATATTTATCCGTCTCTCCAAATCCGGGGAACAAAACTTCAGATCCAATCATCCTCAAGTTCAACTGATATTCGTGGAAACGTGGAATCGATTCGTGGTTGCCCCAAACAAATGAAACTCCAATTGGTGTCTGATTTGTTCCCCAAATGCTCAGTGAAGTTGACTCAATCTCAACCAAAGCAACCAATCACTGCTCAATTCCAAATTGAGGTTGTTAATGTCAGTATTTACAATCCGATTATATCACCCATCCGAATTCGATCCAGTCATTCTGTCATTCACTATACAACAACATCATCATCATCATCATCATCTTCTTCTTCTTCTTCTTCTTCTTTGACAATTTCATTTGATCGCATTGGTGTTTCTGTGCAGCAAGAAAGTACACTGCTCTTCCTGGCTTATCTTCAACATGGAAAAGTGACATATGCGAACTCCAATCTTC